AATGCGTCGTATTCTCTCCTTTATATACTCTTGTTGATAACACAATTTTTGAAGACTTGCTTAGATAAGTATGATCTAGTATTTGCAATTAACTTAAAACATCCTTTTTGAATGGCATAGGATCAAATTTCGACCTTTTTAGTTCCTGCACTAGCTATTACTGTGGACAGATTGTTGTATATATATATGAGCGTTCTCAACTATTATAGCCTTCATATGCATGATGCACGATGCCATAGCGAAAAATTAAGTTTGACTTTAATTTAATAAATTACTTGACGATGACTACTCGTTTTGCCTTTCCGGCAATCCTTATGGGGCACAAGTAGGGAAGAACTTTTCAAGTAACAGGAGAGCGAGTACAAAAGCAACTGACAGATATCAAATAATTCTGTATAACTATTCCGAACTATTTCATAATTTATCTCATAGTTTAACGATTTATAAGATGCTTGTCATTTTTATTAATAAAATATTTTTTTTGGTTTCGTGTAAGAATTTCACATGAAACTTCTCTAAGAAAGCATTAAACGAAACAAGTCAAAAAGCTTATTTATAACATGTAATTATACGCTATAGACATCACGTAATAATACAACTACTACTTCTAGTACTATTACTACTACTATAACTACTACTACTACTACTACTACTACTACCACCATTACTATTACCGCACAATAAACAACAAAGTAATGGCGCTTGAGTGAGTATCTTTTATACCATTTTGACGAAATTCAATTGTTTGACTCTATACGTGTATGAAAATTTCAAATAATATGATGCCGATTAAAGTAGAAAAAAAACAAAAAAAAAGAAAAGAAAACAGAGGAGAAAACGACAAACACATACATAAGCAAATAAATAAAATCAACACGATCTGTTGTATTTTAGAAAAATGATTAAGTTGATGAGGATGATGATCATGATGAGTTTTAAATGGAATAGTACGTGTGTGAAAATGACACGTACAATGCAAACGAATGCACGTCATCTAGATTATAAGGTTTTAAGAAATTCAACAAAAAGCAAAAAAACAAAAAATTACAACAAATCGCAATGATTTAAAGTCAAATATTAACAACAAACACAACAAAAATAATAAAAGTAATTTATTTTGTAAATTTCATTGTTGTGATTTATATCAAATAACTCTTGAGCTTTGCTGCGCTCAAGACAACTTGTTGTAAAAAAAACCAAAAATAAAAATAAAACTTTACTAAGCGTGAAGACGCTATTTAATGTTAACACGTACCACAGAGAACTGACATGTTGCGTTCCATGTTTATCAAAGTTTGAAGATCACCTTTGACCTTGAACATAGTAACATGTCTTATAACGTTTGCTTGCCTTAAATATATTCAGGTAATACATACTGCGCGCGATTTAAGATGTAAAGAGGTGCGGTCGAGCAAATTACTTATAGTTAATCTTAACCTATATGCTACTGCTTTGTTATTTAAAATGAAATGTTATAATACAAAACCTTCTCTTCAGATATGAGTCATAAAAATGATGGAATACTTTGTGGTTAATCTGTGGACCGAAACTGTATTTGTATATCATTTGTATAACTTCATATATAAGTACGTTTATCATTGGATTACAAACATAATTTTATTTGAAAAACCTTAAGAAAATACCGAGTATATGTTATTGTTATTTGGAACGGATAAAATTGTTTAGTTTACTTTGAAGTGAATCTCTTCGATAATGACTGTCTTAAGCGAATGTATAAAAACGTTTACTAATTTCTGCAGAGGAACCATTAAATATTATTAACAAAAGTAGTGTAGCATCTATGAGAAGACACCTACCTACACCGCATAAAAATGCAAAACTTTACTCATGAAGTCTCAAACTTCTCAGGCTTCTGTGTATGCTTTAAACGCTTTTTAGTATATATGCCGAGATTTTTACTTGATCTTCACAGGCATTGTTGTCTAACTTAAAACATGCTACTTACAAGGTGCATTAAGGAATAGATAGTTTATTTCGATCACATTTCATTTTTGTACACATCTCACAGTAAGTGATTCATAGCTGATTTCATCGTAATGCTACATCTTAAACATATTTTTCAGAAGAAGCTTCGTTCGGCTATCCAACATTTTCAGTATCTGATTGTTAAAAAAAATTTTAATACTCTTTCCGAGTGTCTCGAATTAGTGAGTGCCTTGTCCAGACACTGTATCATTCATCTGTTGTATCGTTTGCGTTAAGTTATTACTTAGCTTGCCAAAGAATTGGAAATTATTATGAATTTTTCAGAACAAACTAAACTCTGCCTTTGTCGACATTTTGTCGACATTTTTTTGGAAACTTCAGCACAATGCAAACGGGAGTGCAGTAAATATGGCTAATCAAAAAACCATTCTTCTCACGGGAAACGTTGCCCGCGCACATGTCGTTCAATCTACATGAGAAAATCGTGATCCTTTACGAATATCATGTTCAAAGCTACACGTGACGTATTTGTACAAAATTTGAATTATCCCATATTTTAACATCGTATAGCGCTACGTTCATCCTATTAGCCTAATTTACTACAGCATGGGCATGCAATGCAAAAAACATTTGCACCTGTTTAACGAGCGCATTGTTCCCTAAACATGCCCATATATGCCTTATAGCTCTGATAGAAAGTCCATTAAAACAGTATCTTTTCAACTCGAAGTAACCGAGCAAGTTCTCTCTACTCTAGAAAGCATCTCATAGGCAATGAACGGTATTTCATATTCGAACTCATCCCACGTTAATCGAAATCTCTGCGAACTCTTTAATGCTTTTCTTTAATGCTACAGGCGAGATTCCAAAGCTATTGCAATCCATACTAACCACGGGTTCAAAAATAAGAGATCAAATGCCGTGTCATCATATCTGTTTTGAACTTTACGAATTTCAAAACAGAAAATTTCAAACCGGTTGAGAATTTTGCAGATAGACTAGTGGCTCAAGAATGAATCAGTGTACCATCGAAGTTGTACTAGACTTCCGCCTCTGTTTGTCCCATGAAGAAATATGCAAAGAAGAACCCATACCAGTGGTTCCCAAATCAATCTCTGAACCACCGAAGGCGCGCTAGACTTTCCCCTCTGTTCGTCACATGAAGAAATATGCAAGCAAGAACCCATACCAGTGGTTCCCAAATCAATCTCTGAACCAAACCAGTAAGTGGACCACCGAGGGTATACTAAACTTTTCCTTCTATTTATAACACGAAACAATACACAAAAGGGAACCGTTATGTTCTCTACCTATATGGCGATTGCTTCAAGCGATGCTATCTTGCTGAGAATAATTGTTGACCACATCTACAGCGTTAACTTCAAGACCAAAAGGGTAACGCAATCCATTTAATGTAACCACCGAATCGGCAGCATTTTTAAAAATATGCCCTCATTACATCGGAAGGTCGCGAAATTGTCACTCGTATCACTCGAATGAAGAAATTGTTCCGCTATTTTTCTTAGGTTAACTGACAACATACGAGGTATTTTATTTAAAAAAATCTTGATCGCGTTCATGCAATTTCCGAACGAATCAGCCAATCAGTAAATATAAAGTGAATTGGAAAACCTATTATTTTTTACTTGTCAAATCTCCTCGCAATAACAGTGTAGTAGTGTTGATAAAATTCTTTTTTCATATAGACTTTGTTGTAGTCTCGTGTCATTTTTGCTTCTTACTCTGTAGAGGCGGACGAGTCAAACTATCTATCTGTATATTTTTTGTGTACCCACCTTATACATCATACACATGTTTTATATGTAGTATAAGTGGTCTACGGAAACAACCAACAGCCAAAATTTATAACATTTTTAGAAAATTACCTAACAAAATCAAGGTTAATTGCCTTCTGTAAGCTTTAAGCTTTTCGACCTTTCATTCGTTCAAACAATTTAATTAGTAAAATTTATTTAATTTATTATTTCTTCCCTAAACAAACCGCATGCGGTTGCCCTTAAATTCTTTAACAATTATATACAAATTCTATATAAAATATTGCTTTTATTATTTTTTTTTTTTTTTTTGTTTTTTACTGTTAACATTTGAAAATTTTCTTGTTACAGAGAGAGAGTTTGTTGAGATTTTTCTTGTAAAACATGGTTTAGTGGCATATGCATTGTGTGTGTCTGTGGTTAGATAGTAATTTTTCTATATGTATATGTATGTGTCTGGTATGTATTGTGTGTGGTATGTATTGTTGTTGTTATTGTTGTTGTTGTTGTTGTGTTGTTGTTCCTTTGTCTGAAGTTTTCACTTGAAGTTCTTGTTGAAATTCATTTCCAAAGAATTTAAAAATTTTTTTTCTTCTTCTTCTTCTAACTGAAATATTTTACATATTTTCATCACAACTCAAGTTTGTTAATAAAAGCATTTAAGCTTAAAATTAAAAAGAATAAGAAAATTAGAAAAATCAAGAAAATTAAATTTTATTTAAATATATAGATAATACATTTTTTTTTTTTCGATTTTATATTACGAAAGTGTACATTCAAATTGAATAACTTAGAGAGGCTCATTTTCTTGCCAAAGCCCACATAAGAATTATTTCCAACAAATTCCTGTCTTACATCATTGTAATGTTAGCGTAAAGTAAAAAACATGGATTATCCTAACATAGAGCAAAGTGAGAAAGAAAGAAGCAAGTCCAAATTGACCCAGCTACCCATGCTAGTCGTTGAAGGGCTAAACGCGGAAAGCAATGTAAAATTTACATAATATGTATGTTAAAAGAATGCTGTATAAAAGAGAACCGCAAACTGAAAAGTAAGTGCTCTTATTATCAGCGAAAATCCGCAAAGGAGAATCTGCGTAGAGTTACTAACCATAGATTGATCCATCCATCAAGTGGGACCAAAAGTTTTCTTACAAGTAATTTTTTTTTTTTTTTTGTATAGGAAGCTTGTAAGCACTGCGGCTCTGCCTAGCATCCACAGCAATTGCTTTGTTATAAACCTTTTCAAATCAGTTCCATTACGCCAGCTCTTCAGTTAGCCTAAAACCGCCTTCGATACAATTCACACATTTATAAATCTTTAACGACATTCAAGTGAATCACTTTTATTTTATTGAATCATATATCAAATCATCTTTGAAGCTAACAAGTAACAACATTTCGTATATATATAATATAATATATTTATATTTCCTGCGTACGTAATTCTTTTAAATGTTTAAATAAAGCTTCTCTCTTAACGATATCTTGTTCTTGTTCTAATTCGTGTAATAAATCGAAGAGTTGTTGATGCCGTTGTACGCCCTCTGGCGTAAAACGTCGTCGTAACAACGACGAAGCTTTCGAAAACTTCTCACTATGTCTACGTTCCTCGATGGAGAGACGAGCCAATAGCTCAAACATACCCAACATGCTTTTCTTTAAAATTATATCTTCAGCTTCCTGCTTTGCCAAGCCCGATCTAATTGTCGCAATTAATTGTTGCAATTCTAATAGCATGTTCTCTTTCTCCTCTATAGATACGCCATGATAGCGTAAATTTTCCGCTTTATCGATATACTGTTGTAAAAGTTCGGCCGTATTACCGCGATCATCATACGGTATAGAATCCAATAATTGTTCCACAAATGTTTGCGTCATTTTCAGCATATTATTCAATTTAAAATCGGTTATAATATCAACATAATTATAAAAATACTTTATAGCGTTTCGCTCTCGTTCCGGCGTATTTAACGATTGAGAGACGCAATCCTGATTTGCAATAGAAAAACATTACACTAAAGTTATATTCTTTTTTCAATCGCTTAACTTGTACTTACATTTGCGATTAATGAAATGAAAAAATAAATTAGAAAAGCCTTTAGAAAATTCATCGCTACACTTTGTTCCTCGATTGTTTGTTTGGTCACTTTAAAGTCGTAGCTATATAATTATGCTGCGGTTGAACACTCACTGTCCTAGTTTTAAATTTAAACTAAGCTACTATTTAATCTCTATTCTTTCGTTTTATGCATTCGCGCACTCATTCTCTTTGACTGATGACACTGAAATTTCATTGTCAACTAGACGAGACTTTATCAGTGAAACTAGCGTTGTATGAATATATAATATGAAAAAAATCACTACAAAAAAATATCGTTATATTAGAATCATGTTTTGCTTTGAAAAGAATCAAGCACAAAGAAAGTATAGAATGGTAAGGCGCTATGCAATTGTTGCATATCGCTTAATGTGATAGAAATATTTATGATTATTACTTAGACTTGCAAAGCTTAATTAGCTTTAGCTAGTTTAGCACGATAAACAGCTGCGTAATACTCATATTTACATCGACGATGATTGCAATGTTTCCGGATATTTTTGTGATTTCAACTGCAAACACCTCAAATATCACTGATCACTTTCTTTCCAATTCCTTTCTTCGTCACCGAATTGATTACTGATTCGGTAGTTGATACGCGGGCATATTTTCAGATCTTCGTCTTGTTTTTGCATCAAATCGAAGAACGGTCAACATTGATCACTTGGCGCTTTTGGAATGCAAAGTTCAAAGCCTGCGCTTCCGCATGAAATAATACTTTGACAAAATTATTATACTAAAATCATCTTGTGTGTGAACGCCGCCGCTTAAGCTTGAATTTCCATATAAAATTACTTTAATTTTCATAATCATTGCCAAATACTCGTTTCTTCTGCATCACCTAAGAATATATTTAGCAGGGAATGCAATAAAACACTTATCTATACCATAGACTAAAGCAAATTTGAACATATTTGTATTCGAACTGTATTAGATGACCATATTGTTCCAGCTTCCTGCTTCAATTCGCTTGCCATGTCCGTTTATAGAAATATATTAAAAAAGATGTGGTGTAAGAAATGTAGTCTTGGACCGATCGCTGATATCAAAAATTGATTAAACAATGGGCAGAACTGAATGGACAAGCAACCCTTAACCAAGAGAGAACAAAATCATCGAATCAAGTATCGGCATCACCAATGTTTTCCGATAATCACTTCTATTGCTGCTACCAATTACAAACCCAAACCCATAGTAAAAGCCTCTTCCGTTACTGGATATATTGGTCTTATGGTTAACATTTCTAAGCCATTCACCTTTCACGTATCGAAGTAAAACAAAAGAAAGTAACCTTTTATTATATAATCGAATCGGAGAGGCGTTTATGGCATTCTTCTCCAGCATAGAATTTTGAGTTCAATCTGCTGTCAATGCACCAACAACAACTACTAGTAAGATTTCAATCAAATAAATCAGTTTGCAAATTTTGCTTAAGGTTCTTTATGGCCATCATCATCTTAGTTGATTTTTTGTATTTGTATAAAGTCTGTCGCAGCTCTAAAATGCAGATCTGGTAAATTTTAGTTTCTCTCTTTAACACCTTTTCTGAAAATGCTGTAATGTAAGGACATTTTAGTTAGACATCAGTTTCAGTCCATCCGCCACGCCAGCTTGTCACTTTTACACTTTTTAAAGTCATAAGCGTTGAGACAGAAAGCTCATAACCATAATAAATATTAATATCACAAAACACGTATGTGAAAAAGTGAGGTTATAACCTACTTACAAGAAAGATTAAAAACCAAAAAGATCTCGATAAGATAAACATGGATTTATAGGCATTTTTGTCCCCACGCTACACCCGAAACCACGCTATAACGGGTCCTCTAACACAAAAACCTATTACCTTAACTAATGGGTAACAAAAAGTTGACTTCAGCCAAGCAAAGCTTTCTTGCTTCTTTTAATGTATTCTCTTGATAATATTATTGTAAATTAAAAAAAGTCGTTTTGTCAATTTTTTTTGTACTCTACATAACCATTTGTGGCAATTAATTTGACATTAGTTTGTGCATGGTATAGATATATGTAGCATCTAGAACGTTTGGGCATATACCTGGCTTCCATTATATCATATCAATCAAGCAATATCTGCTTATCCGCCAACCTATATTTGCTTCACTGGCATGGGCAGCCAACGAACCTCATTGCTAATGGATTGAATCGGATTATACTACAAACTATAGAGTTTTACCCTGAAAAAGTCTTTAAATGGAAAAAGTCGGCAAGTGTCGATATTTCCTTTAACAAATCCTACTGGATGTGGAAAAATATGATAACATGCGACCATTTTGAAAGTTCCCTTTCTAACAATAATGCTTATGGTATAGTAATATCTACACCTAAATAGAATAACGTGCAGCGAATAGCTAACCACCAGATAATCCAGTATAAGATATTTGTGAGAAAGTGGTTATGCTTTTTAGGCAAAGAAGAAGTAAGAGTTTAGTACTTACGATGAAAATAAGTAAAAAAAAGTTCTTTACCAAAAAAAATAAATAAATACTTACTAAACTTGAATCACGACACCAGTCCACCATTTAGATGTTTTTCCAGTTAAAAATTTTCCAAGAAACATTTAACATTCCTAATTTTGATTAAATATCTTAACCATGGATTATAATAAGCGAAATGGTGTAAGGTGATTAATGATCGGCCAGACTTGTTGCAAAAAAAAAATATTTTGAAAAAAAATTTTTTTTTTTTATTATAATTGCAGGCTTGATTGTTTACCCGATGGACGTGCCACATGTCGTTCGGTACCCGGCCTAACCAAAGATCAACTTGAATTGTGTTACAAAGCCAGTGATGTAACAGCAGCCGCTTTAGAAGGTTTAGATTTAGCCATAAAAGAATGTCAAGCCCAGGTACGTAGTATCTTATGCAAAAAATATACCAAAAATTCATAATTATAATAAGGCTATCTTCTGCTCTACCAGTTTCAATGGCATCGTTGGAATTGTTCATCATTGAATACCAAAAGTCGTAATCCTCATGCTTCCAATTTGTTAAAAAAAGGTACGTAAAGCGTAGAGAGCAAAAGAAAAAAAAAAAAAAATAAGAAGAAAAATATCAAAGACTATGCAGCAGCAGAGTAGCGGTTCTCATAGTAAACACAAAGTTATTATGATTTTATGACGCTAAGCTCACGAACTTAATTTTGTTATTTGAGATTTTTAAGTATTTTATGAATGCACATAATCATGTCATTGCAATACTTGTAAGTGCACATAGTACACCTATTTATGCTCATACTCAATATACTATATATGTATGTGAGGAAAAAAAAACGAAAAGAGTTTGAATGAGAAACCACAACAAAATGTCAACGGTGTTGCGGTTTTCAGCCTCGGGAAACTCTAAAGAAAGCTTAGACAAAAACAGATCATATTGGACATATGGTATGCGTCTAATTAAATTTACTAGAATAGACTGGTAGGACACGAACAAACACAAACACACAAACATATACACAATTTACTCTTATGACTATATATGATCAAACACTCTACACTCTGGCAAACAATCAAAGTTTTATTATGCCGTACTATTAGTCATGCAAAGTTTCATTAAGAAAGTGTACCAGGAATTAACTGCGATAATATTACACAACAACAACAACAACAACAACGTACGTAACCACAATCTTAGATAAAAAGGTAAAAAAAAAAAAACCAAAACGAAAACGAAAAGAAGTAGGAGGCAGTGAACCTCAACGTGTGATCACTATTTCTATTAGTGTTAAACACTCGTCTTTCAATCTTTTGAAAACAACATCACAACACACCACACATCTAATATCTCTTCTAATGTACTGGAGTACTTCTCAACATCAATGGGGGCAGTAGCCTAACTAGTTGTAGTAGTAGTAGGTTTTAAAGCGAGCTTACTTCGACCACGACGCGTTGACCACATATCAGATTACTTTTGACGCATTACGTATTTTTTTTTCTCTCTTTCTTTTTTTATATTTTGCGGCTTTGTTTAAAGCTAATGTTTTTCTTTCTTTTATTTTTTAATTTTTTTTATTTTTTTTTTATTTTTGAGTAGTATTTAAATCGTTAGCTTTGATCCTCTTAATGTACCGCTGCTTTTCAAATCTATATATATATATACATAGATATATACATATATCTGTGCGAAAAGGTAGCAGTTGTGTTTGCATTCACGTAGATTTTCGTATCATCAGCATCAACATCAGTTAGAAAAAAAAATAAATAAAGCATCAACAACAGCAGCAATATTTCAGCTTATTGTGCCATCAAATTACTGGCGATTTCAGTCTATTTAAACCATTGATGTCACACAACGATGCATAAAAAACTTATGTGTGGTAAGAGATTTGATACAACATTAGGAGAGAATTCAGTTTAAAAAATCTGTAAATTTTCTTAAAAGTTTTAAATTTCACGAACAAATACGAAGCGTGCCTTATACAAATTTCTTGTATATATGTCTATTATATTTGATCAAGTGTTAAAATAATCAATGATTTGGAAATATTTCGTTATGATATTAGAAATATGTGACATTTAACCATTCTGCTAAAATCGACTATCACACACCCACCTTACCCAAATAATCGTACACGAATTCAGAGAAAACTTCTTCAAGAACTGTACGTTGAAATCCTAATTGAATCATCTTTTAAGGTGAATGAATACACCTTTCGCCAAAAGAAAAGCGCTTAAATACTTAAAATATAAAACAAATGCAAAAAAAAATTAAATAATTATAGATCAACTATAGATAACATATATACATAAAAAATTTAATACCATCTCGACGGTATGACGGTAATAGCTATTCTTATGAAGAAATATATGTATTCTGCGCCACTTGTATATGCCTTCAAGCATCTAACGTAGATCTGGCATATTCGCGATGGAAAGCATATTTTTAGGCGCTTAATTGTTTTTCTACCATACACATACCTACTTTGTATGTATTATACTTTCAATAGCGCAATTTTTAATCTAATAAAACAAATTAACGCAAGCCCCCGACGCGAAGACGTCGTTCTATATATATATTATATTTGGGTTCGCCAATAAACAAAGCCGTTTAAGACTCAACCTCCATTCTATCATCTTTATGCACATCTGCAATTGACCCCAAATCGACTGAGGAGAAGCTTTGCGAGATAAATTTCATTCTTGAAGCACTTTCAGGATACTTCAGTGTGGATTCATGCAACTTTGCTCAATATTGCTATATCTCTGATCCTTAATTGTCCTATTAGAGCATGGCGGGCAATGAAGGCTATGTTCCGTTTTATACTCTACACCACATGCGGCACAAGCGTATATTAAATTTGGACGGATGTATACAACAATCAAAAAGATGTGTGATTATATCGGCCAACTTAGAATGATCTTCAGAATCGCCTTCTGAATCGATTCAAACTCTCCATCTCTCCTTCGTTCGTTGCCTGCCCGATATTCTTATGTTTAATCTACAGACGGAATTTTTTAAGAAGTTTTAATGAATTCTAGTATATCGACGTGATTTGGCCTAATGACGAGCGGTATTGAAAATGGTTCAGATCGCAGTGCTTCTTTGACCGCTTCTCAAGTAACGCATTCTTTTAAGAAGTCCTTATGTAAATAATTGTGTTAAGCGAAGCAAGCTTTAAGGTTTTTTTAGCTTCCAAATCTTTGAATATTAGTCCTTATCCCCAAAAGAGGAGGTATGCCAAACATTTCTAACAGAAGAGTGCTCTACACAGGGCCTGTTATTCTTAAATAGAATCAAATTTTGACGCAATTTTTTTGGATACATTTGTCTGTCTTTTCATTTGGTGTAACGTCTACGGTAAGCATTATCTTCGTTCGATGACGTGACAGTTACATTTAAGTCGACTTTGGCGATAGCATTTAAAATACTTGAAAAGAGTTTGGTGTAAATAATGGGGATAGTATTTTTTTTTTTTTTTTGTTAGATCATTACTTATATAAACTACACTATTTATAACGAAAAAAAGCTGCACGTGTATGTAACAAAATTTTCTCGAGTCGCTGCACAAAAATTGAAAAAAATACGCCACGCCTATGTAATATCACAGGTAATCAAACTTTCATTTTCCTCGTGTCTTTTTTTCATAGATGACAGATAAAGCAGGTTAGAGGATAGCTGCATATAATTGTCTCCCTTGTTCATTGTATAATTAAATGAAATGATGAGGTGATCTGTTACGTCTTGATACAAGTTTGGAAAACATTTGACGTTGTTTTTACACGACTCCAATTGTTTTTTAGCGTCTTCAGCTTTGTCTTCATCTGCTTGGTTGTCCAATCATCCTTTTTTTACTCGCAACGCATTTGCTGGCAATGCACACACAATTCGCGATTCGACAATCTTTTCGTATCACTTTTTTGCTTATTTAGACCTAGGTCTCCTTACATCTGCTCCCATGCCAGGCGCATGCGCCCTTCTCTCGTCCCTTTTCTAACGAATAGATCTCACACTCTTAATTTGCAGGACTTTTCAAAACTTACATATATTGCATGTGTTGTCTTTTTTAAGCGCTAATGACTTTTATCATCAGCTTAACAGGATGTGATACAGCGTACAACAACAACAACAAACAATTCTAGTTGAGATGATACGAACCGCGGACAATTTCACCTTAGCTTTGGCTTTGCTTTACGTACTCCGTAGGAAACATCATTCCAGCTGATGTGGAAGCATGGGAAGCTCTTTTCAAATTCAACCCCAACTGAACTTTTTTTTTTAGGTTGCAAAGATTACTGCCCGCGAGCTTTCAATAAATTATATGCTTTGATTTGAGTAATGTAATGAGTTAGCTACTACTCTACAAGTGCAGAGCAAACCTTTTCCCTAATACACCAAACCGATGCGAAATGTTTCTTTAGTCCTTTTTCAAATTTCTTTTCCGAAAACGTTGCATGTTAAGAAAATTTAACGAAACGATCTACCAGCTGTCTCTAGTTATTTTCAATGCGAATCGAATACAGTTTGCAAATATAAGGCAAACTTTTTGCCTGCATTATGGAATAATAATAATACCAACTACTAACTATGATTTCAGATATTCAGCCAGAATTTCGTTCAACGCTTAAATTCATCATCCAATGGTAGAAAAAATTCCTTTTGAAAGCCCGCTTGCTTTCAAGTTATCACCGTACGTGTTGTTGATGACTGAAAAGTAGATGTGAACTAGAGAACAAGTGTAATGAGCCTGCGATGAAGCGACGGCAGACAACGCTCCTTATAGTCATTACTCAAGAACCAAGGGGTGCAACAGATCTGTCATAGCGGCTACAACCCACCAACCGCTAATTGGCGCTTTCTCTTGATAAGCCTGAGATGTGTTCTTCTATTTGCTTACATGCTCAATCTCCAACAATAGGCGAAAAGCGTTAACGTACAATTTGTGGGAGAATTCCATTTAAAGTTTCTTTAAGAATATTTATTAACAAAGTCCCTAACAGTGCACAAAAGCGTTAAAATACTTTGCAAAACTTTTATTTATTCGCCCAAGATGGTAGATAACCGAAAATTTGCCTCCACATCAACTGCCTGTATGCACATTTTTTTTTTACCTTTTAAGATGCCATGCCGGCTATAACTTTATCCGTCTCATCAATTATCATACCAAGAGATGTATTTATTCTCAATGCGTCAAAAGTCTAAAATGTTTTTAGGTGGTCTTCCTCTTCATTTATCCTACATAATTATTTTACATTAATATTGTCTTGCAAACATCGTTGGGCAAAGAGAATGAAAGTGTTTCTTCATATAAGGATTTTTGGAGTTTCAATAATTCTCACCTAAGCGATTAAACTCGTAATGATAAATGAATGCGATTGCATGCGATATAATGACTCTGGCTGAGCACTTTCTCAGACATTTTGTTCTCTGAGAATTAATCCAAACTTTAACGAAAATGAGTAATGAGTAATTATCCCTTGATACCTGTCAATCAATTAATTAAGAGTGAATGTTATAACAACATTAAGTAAGATTTGTCTGTGATCGCTGTATCGCGTATCTGA